TTTCAAAAAGGTGATGCTTTAGGCTATTGGAGAACAAGCCAGTGTGTTGATGAAGCAGTTATAAGTTTGGTTAAGAGAAAAGAGCTGCAGCCATAGGGTGGTAGTAGAGTCAGAGATCTTTTTTCAAGCCAGTGAGGTTTTCAGGAGGCTCAAGGAACAAAACATGCAACTTCTATAGTTCTATAGAGAACAGAGAAAATAAACAACTAAGATAAACTGGCATCATTCCCAGAAAACCTTTCCCAAACATAGAAATAACAACCCAACTACTGAATACAATGTGTCAAGAAGCTTCCTAGGCGATGAGCAGTTCCTAGAAGAAGAAAATATCAAATGACCTCTTCAGACATCGATTCTGTCTCAGTGTTCCTTTTCCTTCTGTTCCTGCCAGAAAACACAGCATCAGGGCCACAGTCTCCAAAACACAGTTCAGCGAATTTCACTCAGTTCAACTGTCACTCCCTCAGGTTCTCATATTAAATCCTCCTTGTATCACTTCATGCACCCTCTCACTCTTAACACTTGTCTTTGTCTCTAACGCTCCTTCATCTCCCTCAGTTCAGTTTCATTGCAACACTTCAGGTGTTTTATGGGTGTGAATGTGATTCAGTTACTCCAGTTCCCTTCAGGTTTTTCTCTATCTTGCCTTCACTCATGTAACTTTTTTTATTTTAAGGCTAAGTGTTCTTTCTGGCTTTTGACTCCTTACCTGACTCCAAAGGAGAGCTGCACAAGAATTCCTATATGCCTAGACTGTCTGTTTATGTATAAATGGAAAATAAAAATCTTGACTTGACTTGACTCATTTGTCCTGTCTCTGTCTCACTGTCTCAGTTTTACAGTAAATAACTGCTTTATTGGCCATAATTATATTAAGTACACTATTTACAAAGGATGTTGTACAAGCATGTACAATGATTGTAAGTGGGAAAACACCACAAATGGTGCTAATTAAAAGCAATCAGTGCAAAGAAAGCACTGCCAAAAAAGAAAACTTATCAAACTTTTCCAAAGCAGTTAACCACGACTAACTCTAATTTCAATGATGTTGACACGTTGCATGAGTGAGTTTTCCTGGTTGTGTATTTTTAATCTGTAACAGAACAATATGATAAAGTAATTGCAGTCATATAAGGAGCAAATGGTTTTCCATTTTCTTGTGTCATGTGCTTGTGCTGTGTGTTTAGTTGTATTTGGGGAGGGTTTTTCTCCCATGAGGCATTTTGATTTAGTCATAATAAAAATCTTTCTCTTTTTTGTCAACAATTTGGTGGCTTTTGTATCATATTTGCCACAGTGAAGCAGCAAATGTTCGCCTGTCACCTCATTTCGAGGGCATAACTGACGCATCCTACTTTCTCTCTGCCACCATGTCTTTGTGTCATCCTTTTTTATGCCCCCCCACTGCCTACTCGCTCTCATTTTGTGCTCGTCTCTGTTGTTCAGTGGTTTGATTGTGTTTAAATTGTGACATTAAAGGTTTTAAAATTCAGAATCTATTTGCTCACTCTGTTTTCAGTTTTCCCCTCTCCTTTCACTTTT